TTACAAATAGGCAGGAGTGAAGTGGTGGAGTGTGTTGACCACTTCAATTATTTGGGAAGTTGCATTGGCCCCAATGCACTAATTGATTGATGAAGAAATCTCAGCACGAATACAAAACGTAAGTGTGGCATTTTCTTACTTACGCTATCTCTGACGTAGATGTTATTTCAGAATATATTTATCATATGATGCATGTACTGCGCAACAATTTGCAGTCTTTCTATATAGTTGGGAGAAATAACTGCTGAAAGTGAAAGATATGAAAAAACTGGGTAGCCGTCTTTCATCATAGGTGTCTGCGCTCTGTCTCCCATGTTAGATGGTATTATATGGTGAGTAATATTGAGGCTAGGTGCCGCGTGTTAGCTAAGGAGGGAACGTCAATTGACAAGGTTGCGAAGTCACATCGATTGAGGTGGTTATGACATGTGTAACGGACGCCTACGCCTTCCTCAATGGACAATATTAACTCACATAGGACTGGGTTATAAAATAGTTAGAGTGGGTGGTCAAACCAGAACATGGCATTAATCTATCAAGTCTTTGACAAATGGTTTGAGCCAACAATGTGGGGAGGTGCAGACTGTTTGGTTGGGGTCTTCGGGATTCTAAGAACCAATGGTTGAAGACTGTTAGTGATACAGCTCAAAATATTTCTTTATGATGCAGATACATTCACTCTCTGTGATCGGCCATGTCCACTGAACCCTGTTGTTTTTCTATGCTATTATACTTTCTCCCTTACATTTCTGCTTATTTGATTAGTTGAATTTATTCTACAAACTTGAAGACATCTATAATAGCAACAATCTGTGAAACATTTAGGAAAACTTCACACATATTTCATCGTACATTAAAATGTATGTATGTAAAGATGAAATCCAAAGCAACCTAAGCGAAGAGACATAATCTCTGAAAAAGGTTTCTACCCATTCTACATGTTTCATGTGAAAGGGGTTTTCCGGCAGCTTGAGGGGAGAGCCTTCCAAAGGTTTTCCCTATCTCCAACATAATACTTTCAAGCGTCATCACGAGCTGACATCAGTTAGAGAACCAAAATATGAGCAGGAGGAACTGGATGACTGTTTCGTCTTAGTTTGGGACCCTTCATCAGCACGTACCACCAGGGTTTGAGCTCGTATGCCATTAAGCCAATGGGACCCCATCCAACAGCTAGTCCCTGAATTCCAACTTTCAGCAATGCTTCTCTAACTGATGTCAACTCGTGATCAAATCAAAATCCTTACAAACTAACTCCTGAAAATAATTCTTCCATTCGCCTCCAAAGCCTCAGGATGGTCGGGGGTGGGTGCCTTGCGCTGTGGATTGGCCACCCCTCCACACACCTCTTGAAATGCTCCCATATGATCAGGCGTCTTACATAGCCTCTCCTGAGGAAGTCCTACTCACTGACTTCACGTGGCCGAGGTGTTTTTCACCAAAGTGAAAGGGCGAAAGCGGATGCCCGGCGCTCTTCACCGGGTTGACTGTCCATTGGATGACAGTCTAGGGGAGATGGCTAAACCCTGATTCCAAACCTCCAACGACTGGCGTATGAAGCTCACTGGAGCTCACCGGCAGACGTATGGACAAAGGGCTTGTTGGATGCCCTGGATGTCTGGCCCCATTCAAAAAGGCGTATGAACCGAACTCCGGTCACCGGCTGCCAATGGATAGTGGACTCCCTACTCCACTCCTACTGCCTTGTAGGTCACACTTGGTTGTGAAAAAGCCAAAGATGCACTCTCAAAGAAAAGGCCGAGCGATTCTGGGGACACCACTCGTACCAAATTCCCATGAAACTTCATGAACTCTCTTACAACGTCACCTTCGGTGGTTTGGCCATGTTCTGCGCCGACCAGATGACGATCTGGTCAAATCAGTTCTAAATCCCTCACCATTACCATCTTGGCGATGTCGCAGGGGTGGACAACTGAAAACATGGCTTGGTACAGTCAAGGCTGATACGGAGTGCCTAGGGCTACAAACCGTCTACGGACTCCATCTGTGGAACAAGAATTGGATAACCCTGTCGCAAAACCTTGCGTCAGATAGTCGCACCTGGGCAGTGATGATTTCAGATGTTCATGAAGCCGGCTCATCCTCCGGTAGGAGATAGCCGAAGTAAAGTAAAGTAAGTAATAATATCATTTAAATGATGATAATTCAGTAAGATTCATCCAAGAAATACCTCCGAGTCACTCATGGTAAACGGAATATACGATTATCTTCTCCTAAAAGAAGAAAAGTGATTGTCCTTAACTGAAGGTTAGTCAAGATATCAAGCATATATCCAAATAGCTTCATAGTGGCGGGTTGTACAAACCGGTAGGCCAGGATGAAATAGGTGGAGCGGGACACAAACCCCTATCACATCGTCTGAGAACCGAGTGCATAAGCAAATAAGTCTCGCCTTGATATTACTGTCCGGACACCTGGACCGAAGCAAGTGACTGTTTTAAGGAGCCACTCCCCGAGATTTCAACTTGAAGTTTCTTCTACTGGTCACTGGAGCAGGGGTCAGGGAGCTGTGTTCCTATGGTTCCCATTGGTCGAAACAGGTTTATTAACCACTTGCTGTTTTAAGGTCCTGAAGCCTATGTACACCATAAGTCTAGAGTTAGGCTTTCCCAGCACCCCTAGATGTTTAGACCTGCGTGCACACGAGTCCGCTTGTAAGTGACAGACTTTGGAACCAACCTTATCACTTTTGTGAGGATCACCCACACCACGTGAAGGCAGTGAATAGAACTTAGTTGGAAGAGGCTATGAACGCGTGGCCATATGAGAACATTTTGAGGGCAACACCGAAGTCTAACCACCCTAGGCCGTATCAGTTCGTTTATAGGGACATGAGTACAATGAACAACTTGGAGAAATTCAGCATAAAAACAAATAATGTTAGTATACTACTTCTAAGTAGTTCGAAAACATTTAATAAAAGTTTTAACCACCAAATAATTTCATAATATAGAAAATCAAAACCAATAGTAGCAATAACGTAAACATAATAATTTCAGCATAGAATTCTATGAACTTTTCTGTAAAACATTAAACTGTTACTCTTGCAGGAGTTATGTTATAAAAAATATCTGCGGGAATTTAACACCCCCCATCATCACTAATCGACTAAAATTTTGCGTACGACATTATCAAGTAAGCATCAGATGATGAGTAGCCGATAAAACGAAAAGCATAAGATGGATGCCATTATTAGCCCCACAAAAATGATGTGGCACGTTTGAAAATGGTTAGACTTCGGTCTTCCACTCCAGATGCTACCATATGGATTCGCATTCACAGCCTTTTTCAGGTAAATTCTATTCAGTGCCTTCACCGGTAGAGGTGCTCCTCACAAAAGTGAAAGGGCGGATTCGAAAGTCTCGCACCGACCTAAACGAGTTGGCAAACCCTTATTCCAAAAATCACATTCATATGGGCTCCAGAGTCCGGACAGATCGAGTGACGTATGAAGGTGTCTTGGTCACAGGAAACCATAGACATGTAGTTCCTGAAGCTGCGCGCTCCACTTACTCGTCAATCGAACGTTAACTGGAAGAATTCATAGGGTGTATCCGCTTAATACAACCATTTGCTTTGTCCTGATCATCGAATTCGTACTCGAACTCTTGCACGCATTACGAGATTTTGCGTGGCGCATCTCCTGGTGCCAATAATGTAGCAACCAAATCAGCATGAAATATTGAATTATTGAGTATCTTAATACCTTTCACCTTTCAGTAATCCTAATTTATGAAAATATTTGAAAGATTAGGTCACCATTTGCAACCATACTGCAATTTACTCATTAAGTGGCAATTGTGGTGGTCCATGTTTGTAAATTTCATGGGCAAATAACTGTTCTCACTTAGCTACCTCATTGATTATATCAATCATAACAAGAAACTAGTGCGTCCGTGGCACAGGGATAGAATGCTCCCCAACCACGCAGGTGGTCCAGGATTCGATCCCCAGCCAAGGACGCGCTCACAAACATGGCTAAGCCATTAATAAGACTGGTAAGGAGAGAAAGATGCGCATTAGGCTGGCAACACCATCCCGTAAACATAAACACCACTCCCACCAAAACTTCAACCCTGTAGCTTGAAGCCCTATGTTCCACTGGGAACGTAAAGGAATAAATAGAAAAAACAACAAGAAACTTATTTCGGAGTACGTCATCAGCGAGTGCTGGATTATTGTGGTAACGGAATAACTGCTTGGGAAATCCCTCCTGGACCATTTAATTACAATATTTATACTTATTGGGATAATTCAACTAACTCTGTAATTTTGATTGGACACTATTAATTAATGTGACGTGTCTAGTCCTTTCTTTAGTGCAGACTGAATTCTATCAGTCAGTCAAGTTTGTAATGTGGCCACCAATCAAAGTATCCACAGCACAGTCCTACAGAAGATCAATCGCGAGTCCAAACAGCTCAGTGGTAACGTCTCTGACTGCAGCACTGGATGACACGGGTCCGAATCTCAGAAGGGACATGAGTTCCTTCAAGGTTTCAGATACGCCTTGCTGACTGGTGATTGCCAACTAACACGAAACCTAGGTTCAAGGTTCTCAAGTGCAAAAAATTAGAATTAATGCTTGTTTGCAGAGATTTCATCGATCTCAAGTTACACCAAGAACCTACATCAATTCGGGAACCAGGTAGTGATTTCGTCCTGTTTAAGGACTCCATAATTCCATCGGGGATCTCTATTCACCACTGACTGGAGTGAGAAGTGGTGAACATCAGGGTCTAAAAAGTTGGGTGTGAGTATAAATACCCACCAATGATGATACTAACTGCTGCTTGCACTCTATATTGCAATTGACAGAAGTTAGAATTCATGTGTCAATAGATTACATCCTAGTGGTTATGTAGTCAACTAGTTTGCCTCGTAAACTGAATACCATTCTACTTTTTTTGTTGTATGAATAAATAGAAAAAATATACAAGTAATTTTTTTAGCATTGTGAAAAGATAAAGCAACTTTACTTCAAGAGTATTTCAATATGATCAAGACCATTCACTGTATTACGACTCAATCCTTGATTGCCTTGATATAAAGAAGTCAGAAGAAAATTATCTTCATTTACTGATATCTTCCTGAAATCGAGTTTTGAAATTCTAAAAATTAAAAAAAAAAAGCAGAAACAGCATATTACATGATTAACACCAATAGACAAAGTAAAATGACAACAATTACTAACATCAATTGAAGGAATTGAAGGTATTATTCATATTAGGCAGTTTAACTAGCAAATAGTAAGTTAAATAGTTTAAGTCTACGATTGGTCCACAGGCGAAGAAAATACATTCGAGTAGATGCGTCACAGGATGATATTTCATGAGACATTCTGATCTTCTCATAAGCTGAAATCGGTGTGCTTGATTCTCACGAAAGCCAATGTGTAACGACAGAAGACAAGAGTCAGGTAACAGATCGTTTATTGAGAAAATCATCAGATATTTATAGATTTTTATGTACATTATTATCAGCGTTATTGTTAGCAGAGAAGAAACGTCTTCTGATTGATTGTTTTTCCTGCTGAAGTTTATTCTGTCATCTCTTTGTTGCTGTTTCTTAGACAGTCCGGTGATATATCTGTGAATCGTATCCGCCCACGCTAAGTCTGCTGTGATTGGTTGTTGAGTTCCTCAAAGTTGGGATTTGTTCTTGTTTTTTCTCATGACCCCGATTTGGGACGTAATTGATGGCGTCAATTGTTGTCTACAATTTTGTCATCCAGACAGCTCTCACCAAAAATGTATGACTGATACTAAGTCAATGTGTGCATCATTATGTCGCGTAGGAGGTTGACAACTGCAATGCTTGCCGTCCACTCCATATAATGGCACACCGATTCCTGAGTCACGGTCTTCCAAGCCCCGCTTAGTAGATAATAAGTCCGGAAAAGAGGAAAGGTCAGGGAAAGGCTAACAACCTCATCCCAACCCACAAAAACACACAATTGCTACTGGAACTTCAAAACTTAAAGTCTGAAACCCTATGGTCCACTCAGAACGCAAAGGAGCGCACATTTATACATAAAAGGTATGACTATTGATAGTACAGGACATAATTACTATCCAATGACAACAAGGCAATAACAGCTCTACAATCGATGCAAACAGGCCGACCTGAATGTAAGACGTCTACGACTGTTCAAACGACAATCAACACAAAATCCATCATCAGCCTAATACGACTGAACAATGAATATGTTGTATGGTGTCATCAATATATACAGACAGTTATCTCTATATGGTTAATTGTACAGAATTAAACGTCGATACTAATATTATTAATAAGAGTACGTACATAAATATACCAACAAACCTGGCTCTTAAATGATGCAGATAGTTAAGGTCACATAGGCTAAATACCACCGGAATACAGAAACCAAGCGAAATCTAGATTATTATTTTATTTTCTTAACTTTTTTTATTCTTTGTGTTCCAAAGGCAACAACGGGATTCGAGCTTAAGTCTTTAAGTTCCACTAACAGTAGTGTTTCTTATTACGCGGTGGAGTTGGCTGGAGCCTCACCCAACTGTCTCTTTTCACCAAGTTTACTGCTGGCTAAGCGAGGCAAAGGAACACGTAAGCCAGGGATCGAGCCAAGGGCCACAAGCCTGGTTGGCGGTCATTCTACCACTGAACCAACACCCCACAGACTAATATGCCCTACTACTGGTTAGGATTTTCAGGATTCTAAGAATCAATGATTGAAGACTATTGGTTCTATGGTTCTAAATCATTTTCAGTGCAACTGTCTGTCTGTCTCTTTTCGAAATAGAACTTTGCACATATTTGCGGCACCTTCAACTCACCACACTCCCTCCTTGTAGCACACAAAACAAGAGAAGAAAGTAGGAGAAATGCATAGTAGAGACAGTAAACAGACGTGTGAGACAAAGGAATAGTATTAACGAATAACAAAACAGTTTAATTGGAAATCATAAGTCACAAGGAGTGGATGCATCTGCGCCACTGAGAACGATTTTGAGCCATGTCACCAATTGTTTCCAACCATTGGTTTTTACCGTCCCGAGGACCCCAACCAGGAAGCCAGTCTACACCTTCCTACGTGGCTTAGACTAACTGTTGTGGATTTCATTGACTGGTGCCATGCTTTGGTTTGATCGCTGCTAACTCTTTTCCAGCCTGGCCCTATATCAGCTAACATTGCCCATTGTCGAGGAAGGCGATGACTAGGCATACGTAATACATGTCCTAGCCATCTCAGTCGATGTAATTTCACAGTCTCGTCGACTGATTTCCCCTCAATGCTTACCTAGCACTCGACGCCTAACCTCAATTTTGCTCACCTTATTATACCACTTCACGCGGGAGATAGAACGCAGACACCTAAGATCAAAGACAGCTACTCTTTTCATGTCTTCCGCTCTCAATGACCAGGTCTCACAACCATAAAGGAGGGCGGAGCGGACTGATGAGCAGTACACACGCCCTTTGGTCGATAGTCGGATATCACGTCTACGCCAGAGACGGCGTAGTGTCAGTGTCACAAATACATTCACTCTTCGTAATTTCCAATACCTAGTAAACCATCGTGTATTTTCGCATTGATAATCGTTCTTCATCAAATTTCACCTTGTTGCAGTTCTTCTGAATTTTTTCAGTCTCTCTCCCTCTCCATCTCTCTCTTCTTTACCTTGGTAAGCTGTATAGGGTTTGGCAAGTTGAAAGGAGTACATTTCTGTGTACAGTTCTCTGTTGTAAACTCCGGTAGCCAATCAGTCATTCAAAAAAAGATAAAAATCAAAAAATATTAAGTGTGTAGTAGCTATCTTTTAATCAAAACAATATACTACTGCTACTACAAAGAATACAGAAAATTTTTAAAAAATCGACAAATAAATAAGTTACCTTTCTAATGATAATCGGATACACGGTAGAAAGTTGATAATCAACTGTAGACTACGTAAAGTTAAGGCAAGATTTTTAGCTGATATCCTTTGAAGATCAACTTTTTCACATGCTTCAGCACCGAGTACAAGTTGGCAAGTACGCGAATTGAATTGCTACAAATAAGAAAAATAAATAAAATTGATGCAAGTGGAGAATTTCAGTACTATATGGTAGAATATAAGTCTATTCGATATACATGACATGCACAATTTATTGCTGTTTATAATTTCATCAATTTTATTCACACAATTTTATATTTCTTGTCTTCCTCTTGTTGTTTATTACAACTTTCTATATAATTTTCTACAATAATAATAATAATATAGCATTCAACAGCTGTATGACAATGTCACGTATCAGGCGATCCACAACGGAAAACTCACTGAGGCGTTCCAAGTGAATACAGGAGTAAAACAAGCTGTCTGTCTGCCTGTTATCACCTACGATAATATTCTTAATTGTCGCGGACTGGATTATGCGTCACAATGTGCACAGGGAGCGCGAGGGGACAAGAATACGCTCCGCCACCGATAACAAAACTCCAGAAGATCTGGATTCTGCGAGTGGATGGTTTATGTTTAATGTCACACAAACTCGAAGACCAACAGGCGAAAACTAACAAACAGGCTGAACAGACCATCAAAGAAGACAAGACTGCAGGTGAACATAGAAAAGGTGGAGACAGAGGTGATGAAGATAACCAACCAACAGCTGGTCGGTGGTTTACAATTGCGACATTTCCGTTGTTCTCCTTCAAAATAACATCTTTAGCGCAAGCTTTGATATGAAATGACCTTATTTGGATTCTCTATGAGTGATTTATTTCTATCATAATACAATTTTTGTCATTATTATTCACTTGGAATTTAAACCTTTTTGTCATGTTATTATTATTAATATTGTCTCCTTTAAAATCCTAGAGGAACATAGGGCTACAGCCCCACGTTTCCATTGCATTCGCTGCTCCGCCAACCTTTTCACCTCGCTACACATCTGCCCACATGCTTTCATCTCCTCCTCACATAACCTCCTCCATGTCACCCTCGCACTGATGACCAAACCGCCGCTTCCCACCTGGGTTCCACTCGAGCGATGGCCTGGTGTGTGATGTCACTCGATGATTTGTTTTCTCAGAGTATGGCCAATCCACCTCCATTTCTTCCAACATATTTGTTGCACAACTGGTTCCTGCTGTGTTGGCTTGCTCATTGCTAGAGATCCCTGTTGCCGATCTTTTCTGACCATCTGATCTTGAGTAGTATTGAGCGAAAACAGCTGTGAATGAAGGTCTGTAGTTTGTTCGAAGTGCCCCCCTTCGTGACGCGGCACCAAGTCTTTGATCCGTATAGTCACACTGACTTCACCCTGGAGTTGAAAATTCGGATCTTATCTTGTCATTGTTACTAAATCTTTACTAGCTGATAAATCTGATCTATAATAATGTGTATTTGTTAATCGCTTGTTTGTCTGAATGCTAGCACCAGGCTTCTAGAAATCCCCTGACAGTTTTTTTTATATTCCCTCTGTTTAAAATTTCTACATTTACCTATTTTAACATTTATATCTATAATTATCGATATGCATCAATATAAAATAATAAATGTCATCTTTTTTTCACAACAATTTGTTTATATTCTTGGATTCTGAGTCAAAAGCGATGATGCCCACATTGACCAATATACGCACTTTGTCATAGTTCATGCAATTTTATTTTGTAAACGGTATTGACCATGCCTTCTGTTGGAGATACAATTAATTATAATATCATTCACGGAAAAATTCACTTCATGTTAAAACTTTCACTGAAGAAGTCGCTGTCTAAAGAAGGACAGTGAAAGCATGGCGAATTATAATAAACCACAACCAGCGATCGGTAGCATAGGGGTAGAATGCTGACCAACCACAACTCAAGTGGTTAGGGGTTTGATCCCCGGCCACGGACGCACTCCCAAACCTCGCTAAGCTAACAACAGAACTGGTAAAGAGGGAAGATTGGACATGAGGCTAGCATCCCCATCCCATAAACATAAACACCACTGCTACAGAAACTTCAAGCCCTATGTTCCACCAGGAACGTGAAGGAATTTTTTTTAAAACAAACACCAGCGATCAGCTCAGAGAATACAACTAAATTAAAATGCATGAAAAATTAATTAAATAATTCTACAGAACCAAAAAGAGAAAATTGTTATGAAGATATATATATCTTACATTGAGTAGATCAGTTAGACGATCTAAAACAAATTCTGTAGCCAATGGTTGACACGGTAATTTCTCATCCAATTTAATATATGCATTAATCATAGGCAATAAGAGAACAACAGTACCAACAATAATATATTGTTCACCATTTATAAAAATATGATTCTGTGTTCTAACTGTTTCATTCTGTAACTGAAATGTGAATTAGAATTAGAATAATACTGATTAGTGCAATACGACAAGAACATTATTCATCCTTTAGACAAAGAAACACAGTTGAAGGCAAGTTAATACAAAACACACAAAAACAAAATTCCACAGGGGAATTATAACAAATATATAATTTAAAACAATTAGTTCCCTTTATGAATCTAGATAAAGCAATAAGAAGACGTAATTTGTCTGAATCGTGTAATGTATTTGCTCGCACAACACATTCCGAACTATCTGATCACACACTGACTTGTCATAGGAATATATATGAAATTAATAAAGAGGTAAGAGGTGAGAAAATAGACTAAGGTCAAGTTTAAAGGACATATTCAAGGTCAAAGTAACAATGAAGACCACTAAACCAAATAACAGAGGTAATAGTACATCTGTTATGGTATCAAAACAAAGTTTACCAAGGAAGCTCCAGTGTGATGACGAATTGTTTTTGAATGCATAAAGGTGGCTTAAACTTTCTAACTGCTAGGGCTTCCACAAACTTTAGGATACGCCCCAAACACGTTTTATAGATAGGTTTAAAAGGTGTGTTAACGTCAATTTTATGTCCTGTCTCTATAATATGTTTCGCAATAGAAGAGCTAGGTTTCCTGTTCTCACCAATAATGAGTTCTGAAGATTCTGTTTGTTTCTGGAGCCACTTAGGAATATGCTCTGAAGCCAGCCCTTACTTTCAGAGATCGATGAGTCCTCCCTGTGTGTGTGTGTGTGTGTGTCCACACGTACATTCAAAATGGTAAATACAGTGGGATGTGACGTCATTTTTCGCATGTTCGAAGGGCTTAGATATATATATTGGCTTTACATTTTCTATTATTTGAATGTACGTGTGGACACATACATAGGGAGGACTCATCGATCTCTGCAAGTAAGGGCTGGCTTCAGAGCATATTCCTAAATGGCTCCAGAAACAAATGGAATCTTCAGAACCTTTTAACGGTGAGAACAGGAGACCTAGCTCTTCTATTGCCAAACATATTATTGAGACAGGACATAAAATTGACGTTAACACATCTTTTAAACATATCTATAAAACGTGTTTGGGGCGTATCCTAAAGTTTGTGGAAGCCCTAGCAGTTAGAAAGTTTAAGCCACCTTTATGCATTCAAAAACAATTCGTCATCACACTGGAGCTTCCTTGGTAAACTTTGTTTTGATACCATAACAGATGTACTATTACCTCTGTTATTTGGTTTAGTGGTCTTCATTGTTACTTTGACCTTGAATATGTCCTTTAAACTTGACCTTAGTCTATTTTCTCACCTCTTACCTCTTTATTAATTTCATATATATTCCTATGACAAGTCAGTGTGTGATCAGATAGTTCGGAATGTGTTGTGCGAGCAAATACATTACACGATTCAGACAAATTACGTCTTCTTATTGCTTTATCTAAAAATATAATTTTCAAGTATTGGTTTTGTAGGGATTTTGTTTGATTGGATGGAGGATCTCATCATGATCTGACATCAGGGAGTACTGAGCAGCTGTTTCGTCCTAATTTGGGACTCTTCATCAATATGAACCTACCGACAGGGTTCGAACCCAGGACCTTCTGGTTACAAGGACGAAACAGCTGTCTAGTACTCCCAGGTTTTTCAGTGGTTCCCTGACTGATGTCAGGCCGATTTCATCAGTGGATTACTCGGTCTCAGTCGGCTCAGAGAAACGTCCGAATCAATTCCAACCATCAGATTTCTGGCTAGCTGGCTACTTGGGCGAACACCGGTGATACCATAAATTCAATTGCCAACTAATTTACAAATTGTAAATTTGATTTACGAGTTGATATCAGTCCATGATCAACTCGTAAAAACAAATGTAATCCTTACAAACCAACTACTGAAAATCTTGTGATACATAGGAACAGAAGATGAATAAAGATCTTCGTTGAATAAGCTGATTATTTTTATTTTAGGATTCATTATCAGCTGTTAACAGCTTAAAATGACAACGTCTATTGTTTTAAACTAGTGACATCGATAATGGAAATCGTAAACATTGTACATTAATTACTACGGTGAGTTAGAAACATATCTATTCTACTGTTCAAGTAGTAGGTTATGTATCACCAATGTTTTAGGAAAACCCAAAGATTTACTGAGGAATTGTTTTCAATTGCTGTGTTCCGATTGGAGCACACAAGGCTTCAAGCTTTGAGGTCTCAGTAGTAGCAGTAGTGCTGCTTCTACGGGGGGGGGTGCGTGGTGTAGCTACACTCACGCCTAACCTCTCCCCTCTTTCAGATTTATCATGGGTTAGTGTAAACTAGGTGACGTTTTCGACCCAAGATTGTATGGGTATCTAATGGACATACTGCGATTGAACCACTGACGCCCACTAGCATTAGTTTAGTGAGGATTAATTTGCATCTAACTCCAATGTGAAGTCAGTCAGTGCTACTATACGGATCAGAGACTTGCACTGCGCGTCATAAACAGCATCTCAAAACAAACTACAGACCTTCATTAACAGTCGTCTTCGCTCAATACCACTCAAGATCAGATGGCCGACCAGAAACGATCAGCAACAGAGATCTCTGGGAATGAGCGAACCAACCACGAACCGATTATGAAACAAATATGCAGGAAGAAATGGAGATGGATTGGCTGGCCATACTCTGAGGAAACAATCCATCAAGTGACATCACTAGACAAGCCATTACTCGAGTGGAACCCGAAAGGGAAGCGGAGAGTTGGTCGTCAGTGCAAGGGTGACTTGGAGGAGATCATGTGAAGAGGAGATGAAGGCGTATGGGCAGACTTGGAACCAGGTGAAGACTCTAGCAGAGAACCGAACGCAATGGAGACGCACGGCTGAAGCCCTATGTTCCTCTAGGAATTGAAGGAAATAATAATAATAATTTACATCTGATTTATGATATTCGACAGTTGGTTTATCGGAATTCGATTTATTTAAAGTCCCATTGGGGGATTGTTTTCAGTTCGACAACCGTGGAAAACCATCAAGGAGTAGTAGAAAGCTGTTTCGTTTCGGCCTAGTTGCGGACTCTTAATCAGTACGCACACACACCCCATCCAACGTGGATCAAACCCGGCACCTTCAGGTTATTAGGCCAAGCTTGTTGACCATTCAGACACCAGAGCTGATGTCCAACGACTCATAGAACCTAAATTCTATCGATTCGCGATTTTAGAACAACCACCAACTAATGTCATCAGCGAGTATTTGTTCCCACACCCAACCTGGTGGCTCCTCACTCTTCACGACTTTGGTTGTCAATAACTAGTGATGATTACTAATAAAAACGTTTATGAAGCCATTCGATTCTGCATAACTCCTCTGATATTGCTAGATACCAAAAAACAACCAGCAACAACAGCAGCAGCAACATCCAGCGCCAAACACCATCAACGGGAGGGATTTGAAAGAGGTTACCTCATTCACTTATCTAGCGAGCATTGTCTCAACTGCAGCAGGAACGGACAAGGATGTCAAATCGATAATCGGGAAGGCGAGAAACACATTCATCCACCTGAAACCAATCCGGAAATCTTCCGCTGTCACTCAACTCAGCATCAACAACAAAATTCGGATTTTCAATACAAACGTCAAGTCAGTCAGTTCTTCTATATGGATCAGAAACTTGGCGGTGGGTCACAAAGAACATTTCCAACAGCCTGTTGCAGACCTTTATCAACAACTGTCTTCGCTGGCTCTATACTCAAGATCAGATGGCCGGAAAGAATCACCAACAAGAAACTATGGGAACAAACAAACAAAACAAGAACCAATCGCCAAACAACAAATATGCAGGAGAAAGTGGAGATGGATTGGACACTCGCTGAGGAGGCCGCTGGGTGACATCGCGCGTCAGGCCAGTGCTCGAATGGAACGCGAAAGGGAAGCAACGAGTGGGACGTCCAAAGTTGACATGGCGGAGATCGTGTGAAGAGGAACTGAGACAGTATGGACTAACATGGATGCAGGTGAAAAGTACAGCAGAAGACAGAAACAAGTGGAGGCGTGCAGCTGAAGCCCTATGTTCCACTAGGAACACAAGGGAACAATAATAATAATAAATAATAATTAATGTCATAAAGTTGTGAATTACTTTTGCTTTATTTTCTTCTGTTTCACATAATAAATCATCAATTATTTGTTGAACTTGTTCTGGACATGTAGCTGCTTGCCATCTTTCTTGATCTAATAAATTATTCAATTTTTCACATTTTTCACGATGAAAACAATCAATGATTAATTTAATCATATTGACTACCAGGTTACGTAATACTAGATCTGATTGAAGACTTGATGATATGTATTGATCATTTGAAGTGTATCCATTGGTAGTAGTGACGTTGGATTTATTTATATCTCCACGATTAGATCGAACAAATGACTTTTGGGTAGCAACATTGGGATCACAGTTTTTAACGGATGATAAAAAAGTACCTGAATGTTGTAAAGAATTTTTTGCATTCTCCAATTGAGGACTAATGATTGTTTCAACAGGAATGTCAGAGAATTTTAACCAGGCTCGTAGAACATACACCTTTTTTAAGTAATACAGAAAAGGGGAATTGTAATACAAAGCGAAAATATTCTTAAATGTATATCGTAAACAAAGAATAAGCAGGGGGACATTATCCAATTAATTTAGGCAACAAAAAGAGTATAAGTTTATGTCCTTAGGCATGAGAGCAACTCTCGATGTGTCAAGCCCTAAGATACCAACTGTATAATAAAGACAGAAGTATGCAAAGCGTAATTTGTAACCTCAAAACACCGATATTAAAGTCAATTGCTTAAACAGATAATCTACAATATTACCAATTTATTAACCAACTGTTTGACCAAGTTAAGCAAGTCACTATTATTCGACTGACTGACTGACTGATTTCAGCGTAGAACTTTGCACAGATGTGCAGCAGTTCAACTTGCCACACTCCCTCCATTTAGCACACAAAGCAAGAGAAGAGAGTAAAGGGAGATTCGAGAGAGATAATGAACAGAAGTGTAAGTGAGGGAAATAGAGAAGTAATATGGAAGAACAATAATCCTATTGGATATTACACATCAAAATAAGTGAATGCATCTGCGACATTGAAAGAGATTTTGAGTCATATCACCAATTGTCTGCAGTCATTGCTTTCTACTATCCTGAGGACCCCAACCAGGAAGTCAATCTACATCTCCCTACGGGTCTTAAACTAACTATTGTGGATTTTATTGGCTGATTCCATGTTTTGGTTTGACCACCACTACCGCTAGCTCTTTTCCAACCTGATCTTATCTCAGTTAACACAGTTCGTTCAGGAAAGTGATACCTAGTCATGCGTAACACATGCCCAAGCCAACTCAATAGATGTAACTTCATAACTTCATCGATTGACCCTTCCGTATTACCTAGCACTCGACGCCTAACCTCGATTCGCTCACTCTACTATACCACCTAACACGGAAGATAGAGCGCAGGCACCTTTGATCAAAGACAGCTACCCAGCCTTTTCATGTCTTCCACTTTCAATGACCGGAACAAACTGCTGCTGCTGCTCAGGACACACGTCCTTTGATCGATAGTCAGCTGGATATCCCGTCTACGCCAAAGACGGCATGAGGTGATATATGTCAAACGAGCGATCTGTATCCTTGCTGAGATTCCATCAGCAATCATCCCCACTGGGACTGATGCAACTTCCCAAATACGTAGAGTGGTCAACACACTCCACCACTTCACTCCTACATATCTTTAAGGTAGGAGACAGTGTAGTTGAGTCCTGTAGCATCATCTTACATTTGAGGGACAGAAGCGAATCTATACCAAACATTCGAAGATTTCTGCTCAATGTGTTAAGAAAACTCTGTATTTTTGTCGACGTCTTCACTTAGGAGAACTATATCATCCTCGTATTTAAACTCAATAAGACCATACTCTGGTAACATTTCAATTCTTAAGCCGCTGAAATGAAAGGGGCAGCACTATTATTCGAAATATAATTGAGGGTAAATATTTATTATTTATACGATTTAACAGTGTGCATGCAATATTCCCATATCATCCACTAAAAGTCAATATGAATGAAGAATATGCTTTCCAATGAAGCCTCTCCAGATGCCTACAGTTGTAAAATATAATATTTGTTATCGTTACAGTACATTTTTACACAGAATAACAGATTAGCAGTTATAGGGTGACTAAATAAATAGTAGAATTTGTGTGACAAATGTGCTCGGCTGAATTCAATTACAAAATATTGTGATATGAGAGACGATGGTGGTGATTAGTCATGAATGATAGATTCATACAATGTGGGAGAGGAAATAGGGACAAGTCAACTCAATAATATATATCCAAAACAAGTTCACTTTCAACAGTTTGTAGAAATTTTGGGCATTATGATATTATCATAAAAGTTTTTGTATTTCTCACTGAATGAAAAGAAAAACGATATTGTTATGTTTACTGACGTTACTCTATTTAATGCTGCTAATAGCTTTATCAAAGTATGATTGGACGAGAATTTACGAAATCTCAGCTTATATGTAACAGCTTAATCATCGTTCATCAGTATGTAGTAATTTTTACGTTGTCAATTTGGCCAATTGGTAAAGACAACAAAACCACAAGTATTATTAATGGAAGTGTAGAACTTGAGTACTGTGGTAGAATGTAATTCAACATTAAATTAACCTCATACTGATGAACGATGATTAAGCTGTTACATATAAGCTGAGATTTCGTAAATTCTCGTCCAATCATACTTTGATAAAGCTATTAGCAGCATTAAATAGAGTAACGTCAGTAAACATAACAATATCGTTTTTCTTTTCATTCAGTGAGAAATACAAAAACTTTTATGATAATATCATAATGCCCAAAATTTCTACAAACTGTTGAAAGTGAACTTGTTTTGGATATATATTATTGAGTTGACTTGTCCCTATTTCCTCTCCCACATTGTATGAATCTATCATTCATGACTAATCACCACCATCGTCTCTCATATCACAATATTTTGTAATTGAATTCAGCCGAGCACATTTGTCACACAAATTCTGTTATTTCTTTAGTCACCCTATGTATGACTAATCTGTTATTCTATTTAAAAATGTATCCTGTGCATTTTTTTATGCTTTCACGTTCCCAGTAGAACGCAGGGCTTCAAGCTACAGGCTTGAGGTTTCGGTAGCAGTGGTGTTTATTTTTACTGGATGGGGTTGCTAGCCTCATGCCCAACCTTCCCTCTTTGCCAATTCTAATACTGGCTTAGCGAGGTTTGGGAGTGCGTCCTTGGTCGGGGATCGAACTCCAGACCATATGCATGGTCAGCGAGAGTCCTAACCGCTGCTGTGCCACCGACGCTTATGCTCCTATGTATAACTGGCTATTATTGTAACGATAACAAATATTATATTCTACAACTGTAGGAAGCTGAAGAGACTTCATTGAAAAGGAAACATTCTTCGTTCAGATTGACTAATAATCTATTTTTTACTTCACTCCTTGCTTTTCGAGTGGAATATAGAACTTCAAGCTTCAGCTTTGGAGTTTCAGTAGCGGTGGAGTTTTTTACGGAGTAGAGTTACCAGACTCACATGCAACCCTTCTTCTTTTCTGGGCATGCATTCTGCCATCGAACCAAAAACGCAAATCTAAACATAGCATTAAGCAAATAAAGACACTATATCTTCATCAGGAATTGTAAGACCCCGTAGAAAAAAACATCACTCATACTAAGACTTCAGAGCTTATTTTCTTGAAGGCTAATGTTTCACTTGGAACGCGAGTAAATAGAAAAAGAATTTAAATGAAAAAGTAAAACTTATTTGAAGAATGAGTTCATACTTTTGAAAAAACAGTGATAATCAACACACACACACTTATAGCTTGGTATTACAGTTGTGATAAATAAGGTGTCTTGGATTTTCATTCATTGACAATATTCACACTCATACTACGCGTGTACATACTAACAATAACTTTAGGAAATAACAGTGATTTCAGATAGGCGATGTTTAACGGTAAGAATCAGCACTTGAATTATACCTTATTTCGGAATACTAAACCGGATATTCTTACATCCTGGTGATTGATTATGCTCCTACTGAAATTGAATCAAAATTCAACACCTACCATTTTAAGGGGCATATTGTTATCCGTTTGGCTGATAGAGCACACAAAGGAGATCTCTTATGCGACATATATCATTAAACAATACTGATATTACTTAATTACATAGTGATAACTGCAATGTTCTATAGACAAAACATGTAACATGGAAATATAACAGTCAATAACAAACACATGATATTGGAACTTGAAACAATGGTATAAATTATTATCATGTTTTATTATTATTATTCAACACTACGACGTACCTCAAGTCTTTATCAATCTCATTCAACAGCTCGCTATATGACAATGTCACGTGTCAGGCGATCCACAACGGAAAACTCAGTGAGCACAAGAGTAAGACAAGCTGGCTGTCTGCTCATTATCAACTACAATGATATTCTTAATCGTCATGGACGGGATTATGCGTCACACTGTGCACAGGGAGCGAAGAGACAGGAATACGCTCCACCACCAATAACAACACTCTAGAAGATCTGGATTTCACGCCTGGATGAGTTATGTTCAACGTGACACACACTCGAACAATTACAAGCGGAAACCAACAAACTGGCTGAACAAACCAGCAGCGAAGACAGGACTCCAGGTGAACATAAAGAAGGTGGAGACAGAGGTGATGAGGATAGCTCACCAACAACAACAGCAACAAAAACAACCAGAACCAGTAAACACCAATGCGAGAGATTTAACAAAGGTTACTTCCTTCACTTATCTGGACAGGAAGCATCGTTTCAACTACAGGCACACGGAACGAATGAAGATATCAAAGCCAGCTAGCCAGGATCGGAAAGGTGACATACGCCTTCATCAACCTAAAGCCAGTTCGGAGTCATCTGCACTCCACCTCAGCATAAACAACAAGATTCGAATTCTCAGCACCAATGTCAAGCCGGTCCTTCTATACGGGTCTGAAACTTGCCCAGCGTGTCACGTAAAGGATTTCCAACAAGTTACAAACTTTTATCAACGGCTGCCCCCTTTGCTGACTGGCTCCATACTGAAGATCAAATGACCAGCTAGAAAGGATAAGTAACAAGAAGTACGCTGGCAACAAACCAACCAATAGCCGATAGCTCAACAAATATGTGGGAGAAAATGGAGATGGATCGGGCATACATTGAGGAGACTGTCAAATCACATCACGCCAATGCTTGAGTGGAATCCAAACGGGAAGTGACGAGTGGGTCGTCGGTGCGAGGGTGACATGGAGGAGATCGTGAGAGGAAGAGATGAGAGATTATGGACATAAGATAGGACAAAGTGGAGATGTGTTGTTGAAGCGCTATGTTCCACTCGGAACCCACGGGTATAATAATAATAATTAATTATTATTATTATTATGTTCGGAGTGGAAGATTGGGCTTCAAAACGCATCGCTATTTCTCCCCCTTCTCTGCGGTTCTCTTCAACTGGTTCAACAATTACCCACGAGCTCTCACCTCCTTCCAACAACGATCACCTCCATATGTCACCCTCGGACCCAAACTCAACTCGTCGTTTCCCATTAGGTTTAGCCACTCCAGGATCCGCCTGGCGCCTGAGTTTACCCAACGATCCAAATCTTGTGCTTTATGCTGAGGCCAGCTGATTTCCACATTGATTTCAGATGGATGAAGGTCTGTCATGGTTTTAAGATAGCAGTTGGCTTTGACATTCTCATTTGTACCGCCTAATAGGTAAAGGAAGTGACCCTTTACAAATCTTTCCCATTGGCCTTGGTTGGTGCTTGTTGTTGTTATTGGTGGTGGTTGTGGTTAGCTATCTTCATCCCCACTGTCTTGTCCACATCAACTTGAAGTCCTTTCTATACTGTCTGGCTTCTTCTGCCAACTTGTTGGCTTTCGCCTGTAGATCTTTGAGTTTGTGTGACATTAGACATTAGAAATCATCTGCGAAATCCAAATCTTCTAGAATAGTCTTGTCAGCCCCAACGTATTCCAGTTTACCATCCATAAAAACTTTAGTTCTAAGTAGATTTTGTTTTTTATTAGAAAAAATAATAATAATAAACATACCTGAAATGTACTTAGTAATTTGACTAATTCTCGAAAATCACTCCATTTAACCTGGTCAAAAGCATATTCCCCAAAGACTGTTGTAGATCCAATATCCACTGATGCTGATGTAATCATTGTTGTCGTTGATAAACGTTTTTGTGGATTAGGTGAATTCCCGGATGAGGCAACTGATACATTATTTGTTGTTGTAGTTGTTGATGCTGCTGCTGCTGGAGTTGTGGTTGTTGTTGTCGTCGTTAATCTTGACTCCACTGGATTACTGGAACCTAAACGGAATCTAGATGAGACAAGAGATGTTAAACGTCTTTGAGATGTATTCGCTGTATCCCAAAGTGTTTCATGCATACACTTGGCTAATTCTTTAGCTTTATTGACACTGATTGTATGCGTTGATTGATGTGATGTTGAAGAAGGAGAAGCAGGAGGGGGAGGAGGAGTAGAAACAGTCGGGGAATTATTATTATTGTTATTATTTATAACACCATTTTCGACAGATTTATTCCGTTGATTACAGCATAGATTCTTTTCAAATATATCTACAACATCCTAGAATTGTTTTTTTTTCAAAATAACAAAAGAGAAAGCAATTTTAATAGGGTTGAACAATGCAAAATGTTACTAAAGTACAAAACCTATTCTACCTACCATTAATCAGCATTACAGGAGATTAACTGTTATCAAAAACCTCTCCAAGAACAATCTACTTATGATATTGATGATACTTATCTGAATATTTCAACTAATTTTGTAATTACTGCCCTTTTTCCCTTGACATATATATATATTATTATATTATTATTGTTTCCGTTAATTCCTAGTGGAACATAGGGCTTCAGCTGCACGTCTCCATTGCGTCCGGTTCTCTGCTAGAGTCTTCACCTGCCTCCAAGTCTGCCCACATGCTTTCATCTCCTCTTCACATGACCTCCTCCAAGTCACCCCACGTTCGCACTGACGACCAACTCGCCACTTCCCTTTCGGCCAGGTTCCACTCGAGCAATGGCTTGTCTAGTGATGTCACTTGATGGTTTCCTCAGACTATGGCCAACCAATCCATCTCCATTTCTTCCTGCCTATTTGTTTCACAATCGGTTCCTGCTGAGTTGGTTCGCTCATTGCCAGAGATCTCTGTTGCTGATCTTTTCTGGCCGGCTGGCCATCTGATCTTGAGTTGTATTGAGCGAAGACAACTGTTAATGAAGGTCTGTAGTTTGTTTGAGATGCTGTTTATGACGCGCAGTGCAAGTCTCTGATCCGTATGGTGAGTGGCACTGACTTCACATTGGAGTTGAAAATCGGGATCTTATTTTTGATGGTGAGCAGTGCTGTTGACCTCCACACAGACTTGAGAGTAGTGAAAGCTTGTCTTGCTTTTCCGATTCTTGCATTGATATCCTCGTCAGTTCCGCCTGTAGTTATATATATATATATATATATATATATCACTGTTATAATTGCCAACCTAAAGAATAACGACCATTAAGTGCGAACACACTAATTGCCTTGAAGGGTTAACGTCAACGTTGGATTACAGAACCCAGCTTTATAACAGTGCCACTGTGAACACTGTTCACGAGTTGAGGTGTACATTTCATCCTTATCTCATATTTAAGTACTGTATGGATAATAGGTGGTTAAACGCACATAGTCGCGAATAGCTCTTGTGGAGGTTGCATGTACATCTATCGTTTTTCAAACGCAATTGATGGACATGTATTCAGTCAGATGTACCGACCGTTGAAAAAAAAGAAGTAATGTTTGAAATGGTAAGTCACACGCACACGTTTTTTTTAGAAAACGAAGCTGTCGCTAACTAACTGACATTCTTTCCATCTGCCGTTATAAGGTCATGAAGGCTGAGGTGACATTCACGGCTGCATGGAGTGGAAATTTCTTTATTTCTACTATCCAATAGTACTAGCATTGTAGGCATATAGCCTTATGGAAGGAAGATCAATACCGCCACGCCACTTTTGGCAGGGCAGGAGGTTATTGTTCATATGCATGAAACTGTTTTGATAAAGAAAAGAAAAATTACAATCATAGTCGCCATAGCGCAAATAATGTATGGGTAATTTGACTTTACGACACCATTATTGGTAAAGGAATCATGCAAATAATTCCAAATCATAGTGCAAAGACTCTCCTACATATTCGAAAACAGTTGGTAATTCCGGTTAGTATAATTTATACAGACGAATGAGCAGGATACTAGGGGTTAACAGGGTTAAGTCTGATTGAACATCGTGTCAATCATTCATATGACTTTTTCGCCCCCACCCCCGTCCCTAGAACGCATACTAATTCCATCGAAGGCTTTAGGGGGAGACTGAAGAACAGGATTCCACAGATAAATGATCAAAAAAAATATCATTTTCAATCATCGAAATGAATATATATATTTTATTATTAATATATTTTATTATCTATATTATCATTTGTATTTCTTTTTCTTCTAAACAAACGGCTTTTTCACGTCAAAAAACAGGCCCTCACTCATTGATCAGTTTCAAGGTCACTTGTGCTTTTGTACTCCGTGATCTGTACATTTTAGGTTTGTATATCTACTGCCCTGTCTTTGACTTAGACCTTATTATTTGTCTTTGTTTGTTTGCTTTTTTTCTTGACCCCCAAAATTTTAATGTTTCTCTTCGGTGTTGTGCGGTGTTATTAATGATAATAAATGTGTTGTTTTACGGCTGAGAAATCAAGGTGATGCCATGAAGTGCAAGCGTGCTTAAGCTTGCATTGTCTGCAGCAAAACAGGTTTATTCTGTTTGATTTTAGTGAGATATATATTTTCTCGGTTTTCCACCTCTCCACGATCAAACATCGCCATACTATCTCTCGGCTAAAGAAGTCTAATTCTGCCTTCAGGTTAAGAAATATGGCAATTGTTGGATGCCGGTAAGTATAACTACATATTCCAGAATCTATCAAAGGGTGAAGATATTGATGAATATACTCTATTCTTGGCTTAAAGTTTGCCTAGTTCTCACGAGTTGTCTTCGAGCGCCACTTAATAATCTATGCATGATTATTGAGCCTTGAAATCAAGATACCATATTAGTCAAGCTAATCCCTCTATGACTGTTACAGGAAGACCTGTCTGCCTTCTTTTATTTCGGGCGGGATAAGCAATGACCTATAATCAGTCTAACAGAACTATTTCTGATTCCCAGACATTGCCCAACTACCTTAGTTAATCCAGACAGTCTCTAGAAGGGAAATGAATGCTTCACAATTCAACTAGTCAGCCTCAAAGGATTCAATAACACAAAAATAGAAATGCGATAATGTGAAGCAGCAAAACAAACAAAGACAACATTAGAGCAGCTAAGTGTGATAAATCCAGCTGTGAAAAATATTCTACATAAACCAAACACAATATTGAATCATTGCAGAAAGTACAGAAAAAACTTTTTTTTAGAAAAAAACAACTTTGAATGAACTCACCTGACCACGAATCAACAAGTACTTGAGATCATTGCATAAATTCACTAAGAATTTCATCCATTCTTCGAAGGAAAGATTACGTAATTGATCACTAATTCGTAGTGTCATGGAACTCTGTTGGGCTGTAGATGAACTGGTGAATAGTTTTCAAAAAAAAAATAATAGAAATGAGTTGAAGAAATAATAAAGTAGACAATGAGAGATGAGCATACACAATGAATGGAATACTTTTCATAAAAAAGAGCTCTACTAATTGACATAAACCCCAAGGCTGGTAAAACATTTTAGTGTAAAAAAAACGGTCGGTCAGTCGGTCGGTCGGTTTTCGACATAGAACTTTGCACATATGTGCGGAAGTTCAAGTCGCCACAATCTATGTAGCACGCAAAGCAAGAGAAGGAAGTAGAAGAAATGCATAATATAGACAGTAAACAGAGGTGTGAGACAAAGGAATAGTAATAACGAAGAACAAAACAGTTTCATCGGAAATCATAAGTCACAAGGAGTGGATGCATCTGCGACAGCCACTGAGAACGATTTTTAGCCATGTCACCAATTGTTTCCAACCATTGGTTTTTACCATCCCGAGGGCCCCAACCAGGAAGTCTACATCTTCCTACGTGACTGGCTTAAACTTACTGTTGTGGATTTCATTGACTGGTGAAGCCATGTTTTCGTTTGACCGCCGCTAGCTCTTTTCCAGCCTGACCCTATATCAGCTAACATTGCCCGTCGAGGAAGGCGATGACTAGGCATACGTGGCACATGTCCTAACCATCTCAGTCGAAGTAATTTCACAGTCTCGTCGATTGATTTCCCCGCCTTACCTAGCACTCGTCCCGTGCCTAACCTCAATATTGCTCACCTTATTATACCACTTCACGCGGGAGATAGAACGCAGACACCTATGATCGAAGACAGCTAATCTTTTCATGTCGTCTGCTCTCAATGGCCAGGTTTCACAGCCATAAAGGAGGACGGAGCGGACTGTTGAGCAGTACACACGCCCTTTGGTCGATAGTCGGATATCGCGTCTACGCCAGAGACGGCGAAAACTGGCGAATGCGAACCTAGCCCTCTGTATTCGTGCTGAGATTTCGTCTGAGATCAACCCGTTGGGGCTGATGGTACTTCCCAAGTAATTGAAGCGGTCAATGTGCTCTACCACTTCACTTCCTATTTTTAATGCAGGGGTCGGTGAAGTCCAATCCTGCAGCATCATCTTACATTTTACAGGGGCGAATCGCATGCCAAACATACGGAGATTGTTGCTCAGGGTGTTCAGTAGACTCTGCATTTTGTCAGAGTCCTCGCCTAGAAGGACTATATCGTCCGCATATTCTAAGTCAACGAGATTATTCCCTGGTAGCAGGTCAATCCCTGAGTCGCTGAAGTGTGATAGGGTTAGATCCATTAGTACGTCTATGATGAAATTGAATAGGAATGGGGATAATGGGCATCCTTGACGGACGCCACTAGTCGTCACCACTTCAGATGACAACTCGCCATAAGCCCTCACCTGGCTGCATGAGTACGAGTAGAGTGCCTTAATCAGTGCAATGTATTTTCTTGGCATTCCCTTTACAGCCAAGCATCGCCAGAGAACCTCTCGGTCGACAGAATCGAATGCCGCCTTTAGGTCAAGAAATATAATGATTGTCGGACGCCGGTAGGAATGCCTATGTTCTAGAATCTGTCGAAGGGTGAAGATGTGATCAATACACCCTCTACCTGGCCTAAAACCTGCCTGGTTTTCTTGTGTTTGTGTCTCCCGAGCATCACTTAATCTACGCAGTATTATTGAGCCTAGGATTTTAGATACTATATTAGTCAAGCTAATCCCTCTGTGATTATCACAAGACGACTTGTCCCCCTTCTTGTATATCGGGATGATCAGTGCGTCGGTGGCATAGTGGTTAGGACGCTCGCCGACCATGCACATGGTCCGGGGTTCGATCCCCGGCTGACGCACTCCTCTACCCGACCGAAAGCTGCTACCTTGACGTGGTGGTCGGGCTTGAACACTGCAATGACCCAACAAGCTATACTGGCTGGAACTTATGTTCCTGCAGGTCCTACCATGCCAGAAAGGTTGCTTGGATAGCAGTTAGACTAAAAGCAGTTACCCAATCCAATCCTATGAATTCAAATAAATCACAAAATATCATGCCGGATCGGTCGGGGCCCGGATTAACAACGACCGCGCTTTCTGCTGCCGTGTCACAGGGCAGAAGTGATAAATACGCTACTGAGACACACCAAATAAAAAAGAACAAACAAAAACAGGCCGTGTGTGACCGGCCTCAAGCAGTTGTCCTCTGGGCTCTGCGGTCACGCAACCAACTTCCACGGTGTGGGCAGCTGGGAAGTAACAATCGCCCTCACAATCCGAAGTGCACGCGAAACCCCTCTAATCCTCGCTCATCTTTGTCTTCATCTTCATCTCTATTATCTTGCCTTCCTTCTACCAATGCAACTCCTCTACTTGTAAAAAAAACAGTTGACAGAGGATACATTGATATCGAAAATGAAGCATATTGGCAAGAGGCGGTGGCTAATTATCAGTTGTGAATGCTTGTCAGCATATAAGAATACGATTTAAAACTGCTATATAATCACCCAACCTGACAATAATCTACTCCGGTCACCCAGGGGACGATCACGAGCACACCGAGGGAGTAGCCATCATGATGTCACCAACAGTAGCCAAAGCTCTCATGCAGTGGGAACCAATCTCCTCCAGGATAATGACAGCCAGGTTCAACCCAAAAGGAAGGAAGGTTACAATCATTCAATGCTATGCGCCTACAAACGTCTCAGAACAAGAGAAGAAGGAGGCCTTCTACAGACAACTACAAGCAGTAGTGGACAACGTCCCAGATGGAGATATCAAAATCCTGATGGGTGACATGAATGCGAAACTGGGAGGAGACAATACAGGAAGAGAACTCACCATGGGTCGTGAGGCCCTCAGTGAAATGAACGACAATGGTGAACTCTTCTCAGAATTCTGCGCCTTCAATGATTTGGTGATTAGTGGCAGTGTGTTCAAACACAGGGATATACACAAGGCGACATGGATTTCACCAGATGGACACACCAAAATCCAGATAGACTTCATTTCAATCTCAAGGAAGTGGAGACGGAGCCTACTGGACACAAGATCGAGGAGAGGAGCAGATGTGGGTTCAGACCACTATCTAGTACAAGGGACTTTCAAGGTGAAGCTGAAAGCCTCGAGGATACCTGGGGATAGGCCACAATGCAAGTTCAACACTCACAAACTGAAGAACACAATCACACAGGACACTTTCACTGCAACTGTCAGAGCAAAGCAGGAAACACTACGTGGCACCACTGAGGAATCATCCGTGGAAGACCATTGGAACTCTCTGAAGGTGATTTTCAACGAAACGTGTTCGACGGTTTTAGGAAGAAAGAAGAGACAAGACAAGGAATGGCTCTCAACAGACACTTGGAAGCTAATAGAGGAGAGGAGAATGGTGAAAGAGAAAATGATTCAATGCAATGACGGACCAGAGAAGGAGACGCTGAGTTCAACTTACACAGCACTGGACAAAGAAGTGAAGAAGAGTGCCAGGAAGGACAAAAGACAATTCTACGGCAATCTGGCCACTGAAGCTGAGAACGCAGCAGGCAATAGGGACCTGAGGACATTATATCAGATAACCAAGTCTCTATCCGGGAAGAGATCAACACAAGTGAAATCTATAAAAGACAGCCAAGGGAACCCAATTACCAAAGAAGAAGGACAGATTAAACAATGGGCGGACCACTTCAAAGGACTCTTGGACCGACCACCACCTACAACCCGTCCAGAAATACCAACAACAGCAGGTACATAACTGCAAGTTGACACCAATCCTCCAACGAAAGCTGAAGTCATGAATGCAATCAAGCTTCTGAAAGCTGGAAAAGCAGCTGGACCATATGGAATACCCCTGAAGCACTGAAAGCGGACCCAGAGACGACAGCAGATATGCTGACTCCATTATTGCAAAAAGTCTGGAAAGAGGGAAAGGTGCCCACTGACTGGAGGAAAGGTTACCTTGTGAAACTACCAAAGAAGGGCAACCTAGGACTCTGCAAGAACTGGCGAGGAATCATGCTCCTGTCGACGCCAAGTAAAGTCCTGAGTCGCATCATCCTGGAGAGAATAAAGGACGCACTGGATACAGAACTCCGACCAGAACAAGCTGGATTCAGGAAAGGCAAATCATGTTCTGACCAAATTGCAACTCTACGCATCATCATCATCGAACAAAGCATGGAGTGGCAACCTCTACCTCAACTTCATAAACTTTGAGAAGGCCTTCGACAGCGTTGACCGCGAAGTAATTTGGAAACTACTCGAATACTACGGCGTACCCCAAATATTCATCAACCTTATTCAACAGCTGTACGACAACAGCACATCTCAAGTGATCCACAGCGGAAAACTCAGCGAAGCGTTTGGAGTAAACACAGGAGTCAGACAAGGGTGCTTATTATCACCAATGATATTCATAATTGTGGTGGACTGGATTATGCGACAGACCATCTTTTTTCAGGCCGTTACACTGCTATGTCAAGCAAATCGGACTTTCAATCACTTTCATGTTCCATAGTGAATTGAATATTATTTGTATGTGCGTGGTTGAATAATTGGAGTGGGTAGGTTGTAATGAGCGGCCATGACATTCCCGGGAATCGATCTATGGATCGTCAAGTCTTGAATAATTTTTCTACCATTTCACCTATCTCACTTCGTGATGAGGTTTTAATCAAAATGTAATCAGATCTTCACAAACTGAACAGCTGAATTTTGAACTTGATCAACTCTATAGGTAAAACTACTTAAGAGATTGACTGTTCACAGATGTACTCCGAAGTCATGACGGATTGAGTCAATTAAGTTTAGAGTGAGGACAGATAACCATCACCACCATCGCCTGTGATATTGCATAGAAATGATGTCGTTGTTAATTCCTTTCCTAAGTCCTCTCTTACTCTTTCCTTTGTGTCGAAATTTATACTACTTACCACCAGTGAGTAGTATGAGTTGTATTTATAAAAAACACTTTATCGTCTTTCCACTGGTTCCTATCTTTCTACACAATCCTATTGATTAGCCATTTTCTTACACTTATTACACCATGTCAACTTCTGCCTCTTTAGTCACCCCGCCTACGTTACGTTTTACACTACGTAACACGTTTTTCGAGGACAAATTTTACCAGTATCCGATTGGCCTTATGATTTCTTTGTTAACTATATAATTACGATTGTATAGCTTATGGAAATGAATCGTCGAGAAGAAAATCTTCCTCGATGTTTACGTCTTTTTTTCTTATGACTGAATGTGGGCATATTACATTCATTGTGTTTTATTTGTTAGTTCTTAAACACGTCTATGCTAAGGAAGTCTAACTAACGTAATGTATCATTAATCTATTCGATGCATAGTAATTATTTTCTTACAGTTGAACATTATCTACTCTATGTGCTTCATTTGTGCACCGTTACTGCTAAAGACTATTTATTCGCATCCCTTTATTCTGTATCCGGCATTCGCGCGCTGCCCAAAATACCACATGAATCGTCTTTGACACAGCTGTGCTGTTTTTACTTATTGACGCACACTGACTGCGCTTTCTTGATGGCATTCAGCCACAGACATCTGACAGCTGAGGTTTGTATATTACATTTCTTATTTTATATAGTACCATATTTTGGACAAATCCTGAGTTTCTGGATTTTACGTGTGGCTTTTCTCATTCATTTGGATTATCGTCTCGAATTTCTTTTGAAACAAAATTCACAGTCATATCCTACCTAGGTCAATCGATGACTATTCACTTACTATTTTACACTGTATTATTGAAAAGTGAAAAAAATCAGAAAAAGAAGCTCTTACTCTGTACTGGGATCACTACTTCCAGGAGTTCGTGTTACTGATGAGATATGTTGAAATGATATATCCTTAACTCTTTTCAGCATCTCCGCATGGAAAAATCTTACAAAATCCAGTCGATCAATGCGTATTAATCCAAGGAAACAGGATAAAATCTATGCAGGGTAAAGTAAAAAAAATCATAACAACATTGAAATGTCTATCATTTCAGTACATAAACAGGATAATATCGTTGAATACAAAAAGATAAGCGTTTGACAACCCTCCCCGCAGCACAAAATATCACATAATTCCCCTGTTAATATGTTTCAAGGAGAAATCTTCCCGCTGCCAACTTGAAAATCGGGCTTATAAATCAGTTAAATTAGTCCGAACTCATATACTCAGACCAGAATTCTTATATAACACAATCAATGTGTGTGTGTGTGGGTGGAGTGACGGGTCCTCTAACACCCTACCCAAATACCCAAGATGAAGTAAGTGGGGTTGTATTCGAATGCCGGAAACATTGGCTGAAAGTGGAATGTTCCAGCCAATGAACTACATTCCCACATTTCTATGCAAACTATTTTTATATATCGGAATAATTGTTTGGAAAATCCCTTCTGTAAAATCTATTAACGCTACCGCTACTTATTCGACATTCCAACTAACTTTTTGATCAATATCATCCTTTCTCCTAAACTGTGTATCACAGTTCTGACGTATGCATATCACCTAATGACTTAACCTCGTACTATTTGTCTTTGTTCCTGTTTATTCTTTGATTTAAACGTTCCTCTTTGGGGTTGTCTGATGGTGTTGATAATGTGTTGTTTTGTGTTTATGATTTTATGTGAAGTGAAGTTTAGCCGTGGGGATTTTGACCGTGGACTGTCTGCCTGAAGTGTTGTTTGGTGTGTATTTCTTGATGACAGAGTTTGGATCCCCACCTTGTAGGAAACATTCTTCTTGATTCTCAGGTACTTCATACGATGGATTTTGTTTAAATAATTTTGCTGTATAGCACTTGTCTTTGTAACTGACAGCTAATTCAATCTATATAGCTGTCTAACATCATTGGTTGAGATAATTTTGCGTTTTCATATAATTATGAAATAGTACCATAGATTTTATCGGAAATAAATGTCTTGTTACTATGCGTAACACTCAAAGAAGTTCTCATCAGCTAGCTAGCTATACAATAGAATGCAAAAATCGGTTTCTAACATTCAGACCATAACACTTCTGTTTTGGTCATTATTATTATTATTGTTCCATTGGGTTCCTAGTGGAACATAGGGCTTCAACTGCACGACTCCACTTCCTTCTGTCTTCTGCTGTACTTTTCACCTGCATCTATGTTAGTCCATACTGTTCCAACTCTTCTTCACAAGATCTCCTCAATGTCACCCTTCGACGTCCCACTCGCCGCTTCTCTTTCAGGTTCCACTCGAGCACTGGCCTGGCGCGCGATGTCACCCAACGGCCTCCTCAGCGAGTGTCCAATCCATCTCCACTTTCGCCTGCATATTTGTTAAGCGATTGGTTCTTGTTTTGTTTGTTTGTTCCCATAGTTTCTTGTTGGTGATTCTTTCCGGCCATCTGATCTCATCTTGAGTATAGAGCGAAGACAGTTGTTGTTGATAAAGGTCTGCAACAGGTTGTTGGAAATATTCTTGGTGACCCACCAGGTTTCTGATCCGTATAGAAGAACTGACTTGACGTCGTTTGTATTGAAAATCCGAATTTTGTTGATGCTGAATGACGAAGATTTCCAGATTGGTTTCAGGTTGATGAATGTGTTTTGGTTTTTACTCTATGCAAAACTTCATCTGTTCAATCAACTCACGCATTTATCATGTTAATCACTTCTACCGGTGAATGTAATATCAGTCTGTCAACACAAGTGAAAATTCGAGAACATGTTTACGTACGAAATAATGAATATGCAATGTGAGAATGCATGTCCCTACTTACACCTGCAATTATAAATACAAGTTTATTAAGATAATATTAGGTTTCCCTATGAATAATGAGCATCATATCCCTTTCTAATATCAATTAAGTTAGTAGGCTTCCATAATAATAATAATAATAATCAGTAATCCCATAAGGAATTTATCTAAGCAATACTTGATTGGTAAGGGATTATAATGCTAACTGTTGACCGGCATAATTTTTCAATGTAAAACCTTTGTACAATAGTGCAATAGTCCACAACTTGCATGAATTCATAAACATCACAGAAATGCAGGGAGGAAAAAAAGATGCAAAGGAACTTTAATAAATAGATATGTGGAGAGGAAACAATAAGAACATGATGAATTGGAGAGATCATAAAAACGTCACTTAGAACGACTTTGAGCTGTTTCATTAAATGTCTTCCGCGTCGGTAGCACAGAGACAGAATGCTCGCCAACAATGCAGGTGGTTCGGGGTTGGATCCCCAGTCACGGATGCATTCCTTTACCTAGATAGGCTGGTAATAAGACTGGTAAAGAAGGAAGGCTAGCAACCCCATCCCGTAAACATAAACACTACTACTACCGGTGAAGCAACAGAAGACAAGGCTGGCAACAGATCAGTTTTATTACGAAAACCAACAGGTATTTATATGTATTTTACGTACATTAATAAGGCTTCTGCCCGCAGAAAGAAGGAGGTCTTCTGATTGGTTGTTTGCAAACAAACGCAGTCTTCTGCTTTCTCGTTTTCGATATTTTTCGGAAATGCGAGCCACTTGTCTGAGAATCATATTTGTCCACGTTTAGGTCAGCTGTGATTGGTTGTTGAATCAGCCTAGATTAGTTTCTACCAATCAGCGTAGATCAATGTCTACCAATTGGCTAGCAGCTTGCTCTCACCACACTCGTCCCCCCGTCAAATAGCTTCGTACGCAGGCGTCCCGACCTTCTTGGTGCTACATCCTCTAGTTGAGGATTGTTGCTGATCGGCTTGTCCCACTGTACCCATCGTTGGAGCTGACTGGTATTAACTCGTTTCTGTTTGTCACCTCTTCGGACGGTATATACTTGACCCCGTCTTTTTGTGATTGTGTATGGTCCTTCCCACTTTGGCAGGAGTTTCCGTGAACCTGGCCCGCCTCCAACTGTATATCTCCTGTCTCTACACTTCACTTGGTCCCCGACTGCAAAGGTGATGCACCGCGTCTTTTCTTTCATCTGAGACTTCGCGACATCACTCCGCTGCTTCCGTATTACATTCTTGACGGCCTCTTTCCGCTCTGCTTTTAATTTCGTCGTACTCCACTTTTGGTGAAGGGGCCAGGTCTCGTTGTGTATCGGTAATCGTGGTTTTCTACCATACATCAGTTGAAAGGGTGACTTCTTCGTTGTTTCCTGAGTGGTAGCCCGATGCGTCAGTAAAATCAGTGGAAGCTCCGTTTCCCAGTTACCGCCCTTCGAGGCCAGCCACTCCTTCAGTGTACGGTTGTTTCTCTCCGTTAGGCCATTCGTCTGTGGATGATATGGGGTCGTTCTGATCCTCTTGATGCCCAGCTGTTGCAAACGGGAAGTAAATTCTTCACTCTCGAAACAGGGACCTTGGTCTGTCAGTATCGTCTTTGGTACGCCGTGGTCTGCAACGATGTGTTTAACTACTGCGTCTGTCACGGTCTTTGCACGTTGATCTGGGATCGCTACGGCGTCTACCCATTGTGTCGCGTGTTCCGTCATCACCAGGAGGTACTGATTACCATTAGATGTCTGAGGAAATGGACCCATGACATCTACGGACCACAAGTCACCTATCGCCGTGACTGGAATCGACTGAAGCGGTGGTCGTATGCACCGGTCGCCTTTCATTAGCTGGCACCGTGGACATCCAAGTACGTATCTTGCTACGTCTTCTCTCATACCTGGCCAGTACATGCTTTGTCTTAGGAGGTCAGTTGTTCTGGCCACGCCTGTATGTACCAGCTGGTGACATTCTTCTATCATGTCGTGGCGCGAGGACTGAGGTATGATAGCCAGCCAGCTTCCATCGTTCTCTCGCCAGGTCAGAGTCCCGTAGGCATTCACTCTTAGTCGATCTCTCTGTCTGAGTAGTGTGGTTAGCTCCTTACTCGCCGTAGCTTGATCTACTTCTATCCCGTTGGTTATCACCTGTATCACTGTATTCAGCGTATCATCCAACCTTTGCTTGCGTGCAAGTTTTAGTGGGTCTTGTTCTATAGCATGCACTCCGTAAGCGACCTCGGGCAACTCAGGCTCATCTTCTGGTCTCGATAACAAATCTGCCAAGACATTTTCACTTCCAGGAACGTGTGAGATCGTAAAATCGTACTCCTGAAGACGCAACATCCACCGTGACAATTTCCCCCGTGGGTCTCTCGCTGTCTTCAAAAATTGTAGCGGCTTATGATCAGTTTCGATGTGGAACCGCCGACCGAGTAAATAAGGTCGCCATTTGTCGACTGCCCATACCATTGCTAAACATTCTTTCTCTATCGTTGAATACTTTCTCTCTGTGAGTGTTAAAACCCGACTGGCATACTCAACGATTCCATCACCTTGTCTTAGGACCGCACCTATGGCGTAGTCACTGGCATCTGTGCACACTATAAACTGTCTTCCAGGTACAGGTAGTTTTAGCGTCATTTGTTGGTGGTCGAACAGGTGTTTAATTCTGTCAAATGTCCTCTGCGATTCTTCCGACCAAACAAACTTCGGCTCACCTAGTAGCCTGTATAGAGGGGCTGCTATCTCATTGAAGTTCTTCACGAATCGACTATAAAACGCCGCTCTACCCAAGAATTGCCTCAATTTCCTCTTTGAATTCGGGGCTGGAATTGTTTTCACCGTCAAAATTTTCTCCGGTAGTGGTTTAATCTCACCATTTCCTACTTTATGTCCTAACAGAGTAACATTCTTTCTGGCTATCTGGGACTTGGTTTTGTTAATGCGCAGTCCAAACTCTTCGATGCGTCGCAGCACGGCTTCTACATGCTTCACATGATCGTTTTCATTTTGACTGTATATCACGAGATCATCACCATACACTTCCACGTTTTTCAAGTTCCTAAGTAATAGCGTCATCAGTCTTCTGAAGGTAAACGGTGCACCTGCTAGTCCAAACGGCATGCGTTTAAATCGATATTGTGTCTGGCCCACGCTGAATGCCGTCTTATCTCTATCACCTGGTTTTATCGGTA